ATTGTATTATAGGTCACATTTATATATACAGTTAACCAAAACAAAGACATTCTGCTGCTCAGAGAAAAGCAGAGAATGTTCTAGTCCTGCAGACTCTGAACTGTCCAGCACAAAGCTGAGGGAGGGCTTCAGAGCTCAGCAAGCAAAGGTGCTGGTGTTGGTTAAATAAAGTCTGACCCTGGAGCCCTCTGAAAGGGACTCACGAGTGCACTGCATTCTCATACACATGCACACAGAAAAACAAATAAAGAAAACTAGATGACTCTTCACGCAGGGGGCTGGGAAGATTAACAGGAGCAGAAATAAAATATTCATCATTGATTTGTTATCAAGTCAACTGTATGTAAAAACTTCATTTTTCATGTTCTTGTATATTAAATTTTCAGTGCGTAAAACCTACTGTCCCATTTGCAGATTAAAATTTCAAACCCAGCCAGGTGTAGTGGCACACACCTTTAATCCCAGCACTTGGGAGGCAGAGACAGGGGGATCTCTGGGAGTTTTTATGAGTTTGAGGTCAGCCAGAGCTAAAGAGTGAGACCCTGTCTGGAGACTCTCAAACCAAACCAACAAGCCAGGCAGCAGTGGGGCACGCCTTTAATCCAGCACAGCAGTGGGGCACGCCTTTAATCCAGCACTGGGGAGACAGAGGCAGGTGCATCTCTAAGTTCCAGGCCAGCTCGGTCTACAGAATGAGTTCCAGGACAGCCAGGGCAACACAGAGAAACCCTGTCTTGAAAAACAACAAAAAAAAAACGAACAAAAAAACAAACACCCCCCCCCCCCCCCCCCCCCCCCCCCCCAAACGTTCCAAACCCAAAACAAACCTTTTCCATGGCCAATGTTCCTCAGCTAGCTTTGAGTGACCTACAACATGTCCTTCCTCTACCCTCAGTGTTTCTGTTTCAGTGTCTCCATCAATATGGACTATTTCACGTCTCCCTAGGTTTCCTGAGAGTATCTTACACTTTCCTCTTTCTGCTGAATGTCTCCATGCTGCTTTGTCCTCGGCTGCCTCTCTACCACCTCCAGTCCATAAACCTGTATCAGGTCAGCTTTGTTTTCATGCTCATTGGAGAGCAGTTTAGCAGATCTGAAAACTTTTGGACTGAGCCAGGTATGGTGGTTTCCATCTGTAATCACAAGCATTCAGTGAGCTGAAATGGGATTAAAGAGCTTCAAGTGAGCCTGGGTGGCACAGTGAATTCCAGGCTCACTTGGACTATAGAGACCCTGTCTCAACAGAAAACAAACAAAACCCCTTGATTTAATAGTAAAGAAAAGTAAAATTCCAGATGTAGTTGCTTGTACCCATAATCCTAGCATTTAGGAGGCTGAGGCATAAGGAACACCCCCAGTATGAGGCCAGCCTAGACTGTTTAGTGAGACCTTGTCTCAATACCCTCCCAAGAGAAGTACAATTTTATTTGTTACATATTTGATAGACTTGAGTAAAAAGCCAGGAGGAAGTTAGGTACAGAGCTAAAACTCAGGTGTATGTTTGGTATGTGTGGTATATGTACACATGTATAGGCTTCAGGATGTTAGGTGTTCTATCATTCTCAGAATTATTGCCTTGAGACAGGGTCTTTCACTGTACTTGGAGCTGGGTGGCAACCATCGAAGTCCTGGGAATCCCCATCTCCATCCCCCACAGTTCAGGGGTTGTAGGGCACTCTCCCCGCTCCACAGTACTGAGGTTACAGGGGAGTACACAAGCAACCACATCTGGCTTTTTAGGAGGGTACTAGGGATTTTGAACTCTGGTCCTCATACTTGGGCAACAAGTGCTTTTACCCAGTGAGCTATCTTCCCAGTCCCCGCAGCCCTGGGTGGCCAGGTATTCATTACGTAGGCTTTAAATTCATGAGTGATGCTCCTGCCCCTTTCTCTACCTCTCCAGTGCTGGGATTACAGGCATCCATCACCATGCCACTTTCAGTTCTTCCGTTGTTTTGAGACAGGGTCTGTCTACACAGCCCTGGCTGTTCTGGAACTTGATATGTAAACCAGGCTGATCTCAAACTCAGAGACACTCCTGCGTCTGCCTCTTAAGTGCTAGGATTAAAGGTATGCGCCACTACACCTGGCAGTTTTGTTTTGTTTTTTTAATTAAGGATTAGGTATATACCACAGATTACCCTGAATTGAAAATTCATTTAGGAAAAAAAGCCTAAATGTAGTTCCCAAGTTTTTCAGTGTTGCCTCTCTGACTGGTACCTATTCTCTCTGAGCCTAAACCTTTATGAGGCACAAAAGACACTACAGGCAGAGATCATTCACATGGACATGAGGACTGCAGGCCCTCCCTGAATACTTACATTTTACGAATTGGCATCTGGCTGAAAAGCTGTGGGACTGACCCATGTGAGACCAGAGTTTGGCGGTTGGGCTTGTTTAGTCCACAGGCGAGTTTTGCCAGGACCTGGAAGCACAGAGAACAATAAAATCATTAATTAATATTAGTAAGGTAACTATGTATAGTTGGTAAATACTAAAGCATGCATACACATACACAGAGGCACAGCTTAATGGCTATCCTAATAACTTCCACATGAAAATCAAAATATAACCAGAAACTCAAAACCTCTGTGTTCCACAGAATCCTCTGGGGAAAACGTTTTCATCACTGTTCTCCCTACACTCGTCTGTTTTCCTAAAGCCATTTTTTCCTTTATCATCTATTTGAGACTTTTCTCACAATAGGTTTAAAAAACAGAGAAGAAACTCAAGTAAGATTCACTTCTTATTCATGTAAATGTGAAAATGTTAAAATAGGCCAAAAATGGTGGTGCAATCCTGTAATGCCAACATTTGGAAGTGAATGTGGGAAGAGCAGGGAAGACTACCTACACAGAGACACATACATATACCTATAACTGAAAACTAAAAAATAAATGGTTATCTCCCTCCACATAAATACATAAACATACATATAGATAATCATTCCTTAATTTCACTAGGAAGATTCTTTTTTCCTTTGAGACATGGTCTGTGATGGCTGTTCTTGGTTGTCAACTTGACTATATCTGGATTAACTAAAACCGGAGTGGCTGGAGGGATTTTTTCTTTTTTTTTTTTACTTAATTAAATCATTTGAAGTGAAAAGAATTCCCCTGCCCCCCCTTTTTTCTTTCTTTCTTTCTTTCTTTTCTTTTCTTTCTTTCTTTCTTTTTTTTTTTTTAAACATAAAAAGGCTTTATTTGCAGGGGAGCAAGAATTTAATCAAACAAGCCAAATCCCATGTCATCATCTGACTCCTTGGACTCCTCCTCCTTCTCTTCGTCTTTCTTCTCCTCTGCTGCAGCAGGGGCAGAACCAGCAGCAGGAGCTGCAGAGTCAGGGGCAGCAGAAACAGCCACAGCCCCACCAGCAGGCACACTGGCAAGTTTGCCAACAACCTGGGCGATGACATCCTCAATGTTTTTTCCATTCAGCTCACTGATGACCTTGTTGAGCTGGTCATCACTGCCTCGATGCCCACGCTGTCTATCTAGTATCTTCTTAATGTCTTTGGGGCTGGGAGAGGAGTTGCCCCCAAGGGCCGCAAGCAAATAAGAGGCGACGTAGCGCATGTCGGCTGCTGCAGACAGGCCCACCTCAGCAGCGTCAGGCAGCGAAAGCCCTTCCCCGCTTTTTTTTTCTAAGACAGGCTTTTTCTGTGTAGTCCTGGCAGCCCTGGAACTAATTCTATAGACCAGGCTAACCTCAAACTCACAGAGATCCACCTGCCTCTGCCTCCCCGTGCTGGGATTAAAGGCATGCGACACTACCACCTGGCGAGACCAACTTGTAATCAGTTGAGGTGGGAAGATCCACCTTTACTCTGGGACACACCTTCTGCCTGTAGCCTGTACAAAGAACATGGAAGGAAGCTTGCTCTGTATTTGTCCACTTGCTGTTGCTGGCAAATCCATTCCTTCACTGGCATTAGAGCCTATTTCTTTGGGATTCTAGTATATACTGAAGAACAACTGAGACATCCAGCCTCATAAACTGAACAACTACTGGATTCTTGGACCTTTCATTGGTAGACAGCTATTGTTGGACAAGCTGGTACACAGTCCGTAAGCCATTAATAATTTATATATATATATATATATATATATATACACACATTCATTCTGTAAGTTCTGTTCCTCTCTAGAGCAGTGGTTCTCAACCTTCCTAATGATGCAACCATTTAATACAGTTCTTCATGTTGTGGTGACTCCCAACCATAAAATTATTTCCATTGCTACGTCATAACTAATTTTGCTAGTTATGAGTCATTATGTAAATATTTGATATGCAGGATATATAATTTTCGACCCCTGTGAAAAGGTCTTTCAGCCCCCTAAGGGGTTGATACAGATTCAGAACCACTGCTCTAGAGAACCCTGACTAATACACAGTCTCTTTATTAGGAGGCTCTGGCTGTCCTGGAACTCACTAGACCAGGCTCACCTAGAATGCACAAAGAGGCACCTGCCTCTGCCTCCCAAATGGAAAAAAAAAAAAAAGCAAATTAAAATTAAAAGCATGCACCACCTGGGGAACACTCCTCTATTGCTGGTGAGAGTGCAAACTTGTACAGGCACTTTGGAAGTCAGTGTGGCAGTTTCTCAGAAAACTAACAATCAACCTATCACAAGACCCAGCTATACCGCTCTTCGACATATACCCAAAGGATGCTCAATCACACCACAAGGATACCTGCTCAACTATGTTCATAGCACCTTTATTTGTAATAGCCACTGAAAACAACCTAGATGTCCCTCAACTGAGGAATGGATAAAGAAAATGTTCACTTACAAAATGGAGTATTACTCAGTTGTTAAAAACAAGGACACTAGGAATTTTGAAGGCAAATAGATAGAACTAGAAAAAATCATGCTGAGTGAGGTAACCCAGACTGAAAAAGACAAACATGGTATGTACTCACTCATAAGTGGATATTAGCTGTAAAATAAAGTATAACTATGCTATAATCTGCAGACCTAGAGAGACTAGGTAACAAGGAGGGTTCATGAGGGGACATTCAGATCTCCCTGGGAAGGGGAAATAGTAGAGATTTTGTGAGTGGACTGAGGGCAGGTGAGGATGGGAACATGAGTGATCAGGTTAGGGGAAGGCATTGAGAGGGAGAGCGTTGAAAAGAACTGCTGGAGGAGTGGGCATTTTGGGGGGTTAGGTGGAAGCCTGGCACAGGGGAATCTCCCAGGAGTCTATGAGGAGGATCCCAATTTAGACTTCTAGCAATAGTGGTTAGTAGCATGAATTGGCCATCTCCTGTGACCAGATTGGTGCCTGGCCCAATTGTCATCAGAGAGGTACGATCTAGTTCAGGAATCCTGAAGAGGGTGAGGGTGAGGAGGGGGAGGAGGAGGAAGAGGAGGAAGGGAAGGAGGGGGAGGAGGGGGAAGGAGTGTAGCAGCCAGACAGGTCAAGGACACCACAGGAAGGCTCACACAATCAATTAATCTGGGCTCATAGGGGCTCACAGAGACTGAATGGACAACCAGGGAGCCTGCATGGGGCTGACCTAGGCCTCTACATATATGTTACAGTTGTGTAGATTGGTCTTCTTGTGAGACTTCTAAAAATGGGAACAGGGGCTGTCTCCAACTCTTTTACTGATTTTTGGGACCCTATTCCTACTAGATCGCCTTGCCTAGTCTTAATACATGCAGGGGTGCTTAGCCTTACTGCAACTTGATATGCCATGTTTTATTGATACTTATGGGAAACCTGCCCTTTCCTGGAGAGAGAAGAAAGAGGAGGAGATTGGAGGTGGAGGGGGTGAGGGGGGGTGAGAAGGGACTAGAAGGAGAGGATGGGGGAGGGTAGGCTTCGGCTGGGATGTAAAATAAATAGATGAATTAAAACAACACCACAGACCACACACACACACACACACACACACACACACACACACACACACACAATGTGCACCACCATGACCAGCTATTGGTAAAATTCTTTAGTAACTTAAGGCAATATTTAGTATGATCTATATTACATTACATTAGGAATAATTTCCCTCCCTTTCATATAGCCAAAAAACCCCAAAATTCTTCTGGGTAGCTTAGCAACTTTCCTTCTGTTAGAGCAGAAGCAGGTGGCAGTGACCTGGTCAGCTCCTGCTCATTACGGAGCCTTGGTTAGAGTTGATGGAAGGCTTTTTTTTTTTTGGAACAGGGTTTCTCTGTGTAACAGTCCTGGCTGTCCTGGAACTCACTCTGTAGACCAGGCCTGCCTTGAACGCATTGAGATCCACCTGCCTCTATCTCCTGAGTGCTGGGATTAAAGGCTTACACAACCATCGCCTGGCGACGGAAGTCTTATATTTTCACTGTACTTTATTCACAGGTAGTTAGCAAATCAGTTATTCTGCTTTTGGACTATTGAGAATTGTCTGTGTTCCCCATTTTAAAAATAGTGGTCCAAATTAAAATGTGACTGCAGCCACCTTTCTCTCACTGCCCCAATCGCTCAAGCCTGAGGGTTGGCGTTTGAATGCCAGCACCTATGAAACAAGCTGTGAATAATCCTGCACACACTTGCAACCCCAGCACTGGCAGGGAAGAGACAGGGAGACCTCTGGGACTTGATGGCTGCTAGGATAGCCTACTCTCCTCCAAAGAAATGCTAGTTCGAGGTTAAAAGAGAGACCCTGCCTAAAAGGAGTACAGCAGAGGAGTGACAGATTATGACACACATATGCACACGTCACAAACATGCCAAACTCACATCTGTATACATATACGCACAAGGAATAGGCAAAAACATAAAATATCCAGGCAATTCCATATAAGGAAACAATAAAGCTAAGTGTAGTAGCAGATGCCTGTAATCCCAGGACTTTGGAGGTAGAAAAAGGAAGATCAGGTTGTCTTTGGTACACAGGAAGTTCAAGGCTAGCCTGAGCTACATGAGAACTTGCCTCAAAAAGCCAAAACATATAAGACAAAACAACAAAAATATACAGCAAGTGACAATAAATGAAATAGGCTAATTTATAAAAGTTCAAAGCCTCAGCTTTTCTTTTTTTTTTTTCGAGACAGTTTTTCTGTGTAACAGCTTTGACTGTCCTGGAATTCACTTTGTAGACCAGACTGGCCTTGAACTCACAGAGATCCACCAGCCTGGCTTTTTTTATTTTTTTAATAATATAACTTTAAAAAAAAAAGATTTATTTTTATGTGCATTGGGCCTGCATGTGTGTCTGTGTGAGGGTTGTTGGCTCCCTTAGAACTGGAGTTACAGATAGTTGTGAGCTGCCATGTGGGTCCTCTGGAAGAGTAGCCTCTTAAGCACTGAGCCATCTCTGCAGCTCCAGGCTTCAGCTTTTCTATACAGATGGTTCAATCATTAAAAAAATATAATTTGTGTCAGCTTTCAGGCTGCTTCTTAGGAAAGTTATTTATGCATGTCAAATAATGTTATTACTTAAGCTTTTATTTGAGTCTCAATATGAATTTTATTTTACCTATTTTTTTTTGTTTGTTTGTTTTGGTTTTTTTTTTTTTTTTTTTAAAGATTTATTTATTTATTATGTATACAGCATATATGACTGCAGGCCAGAAGAGGGCACCAGATCTCATTACAGGTGGTTGTGAGCCACCATGTGGTTGCTGGGAATTGAACTCAGGACCTCTGGAAGAGCAGTCAGTGCTCTTAACCTCTGAGCCATCTCTCCAGCCCCCTTGTTTTGGTTTTTTGAGACAGGGTTTCTCTGTGTAATTTTGATGCCTGTCCTGGATCTCACTTGCTCTGTAGCCCATGCTGGCCTCCAACTCACAGAGATATGCCTGCCTCTGCCTCTCGAGTGCTGGGATTAAATGTGTGTGCCACCATTGCCCAGCTAGCTAAGTTTTTAAAAAGTGACATTTATGGGGGGCATTGTACATATGGAGGTCAAAGGACAATTTGGTTCTCTTCTTCTATCATGAGGGTTCTAGGTGGAACTCAGGTCATTAAGCTTGGTGGCAAGTGCCTTTACCCACTGAATCATCTTACCAGTCCCAAAATGTTAAACAATTAAAAAACATTATTTTATGTGTATGGGTGTTTTGCATGCATTTATGTCTGTACAGCATGTGCATGCAATGCCCTCAGAGGCCAGAAGAAGTGTTGGGTCCCCTGGAACTGTATTTACAGACAGTTGAGAGCTACCATGTAGGTGGTGGGAATTGACCCCAGGTCTTCTGGAAGAATAGCCAGTGCTCTTAACTGATGAGTCCCCTCTCCAGTGCCCCCCCCCCCCTTTTTTAAAGTTTTTTGAGACAAGGTCTCTTATATGAGTAGACTGGCCTGGAACTCTAGAACCCTTGATTTTCCTGGGTGGAAGTACAGACATGCACTACCACACCAGGCTCTCAACATGAATTTTAAATATCCACTAATACCCATCCATCCTTGCTGTACTTTACTAAAAGTATCAATGCTTCTCTTTGAGGTCTACAGTAAGCCTTCACCTTATTGTGTGAGATTCCAGCTGAACACTGAAAACCAGTCTTCCTCTCTATGGCTGCTCTCATTTCTTCCACAATCACTGCTCCCACAGTCAACCGTAGGTCTGGAGAGGTGGGCTCATCAATCTGAAGAGAACCAAGCCACTGAAGCAAGCCTTGTTTTCGAATTTCCTCTGAAAAAAGTTGAGAAGATTACACTTAGACATTTTTTAAATTAGTTATTTTCAGTCACGAATCACATAGCATTTGCTCAAGGGCAGACTACATACATGATGGTATATGGCATTAGAACTTAATGTATAGTAGGCTATATGATCTAGCTTTCTCTAAATACATGATATTTGCACAGTGATGAAATCACCCAGGGACACATTTCCCAGAGCATAAGCCTGACATTAAGCAGCACAGGACTATATTTACCATTCAATGCAGAAATGGTTTGATTTCAGGTACTTTAGACACATAGGTTTACTTTAAGCTTTATTTTTATTTATGTGTGTGTCTGTGTATGGCATGTGTGTAGGTACCCCTGGGGACCAGAGAGGGTTTTGGATCCTTTGGAGCTGGAGTTGAAGGTGGTCTCACAATGTCAATGCTGGGAACCAAATTTGGGTCCTCTAGAGGAACAGTAAGTGCTTTTAACCACAAAGCCATCTCTCCAGCCCCATTTTATTTACAATTGCATTTTATTTGTTTTGTCTGCATGGGCATATGCACATGTGGGTCAAAGGGATCAAACCCGGGTTGTTAGGTTTGGCGGCAGGCCCTTTTACCTGCTGAGACATCTCGCCAGCCCTAGATACATAGGTTTAGAAAACCAATCACATTCAAACATACCAATTCCAGAAGGCTTAGTTTCAGCTTAGGTTAAAACTTATAGTGATAATGTGTAAATAATTTTTATGTTAATAATCATTCATGAATAATGATTTGATTCTTTTCAGTGCTGAACCCATGGTTCAAACATACTATCATTAATCTCTACTCCCAGCCCAGGAGCAAGGGTTTAAAAATGTGTTCCCACTGCCTGGATGCCTCCCAAACAGATCAAGCCAATCAACTGTCTCACCCATTCGAAGGGCCTGATCCAGTGGGGACCCCTCAGTCATTGGTTCATAGTTCATGTGTTTCCATTCATTTGGCTATTTGTCCCTGTGCTTTATCCAACCTTGGTCTCAACAATTCTCGTTCATATAAACCCTCCTCATTCTCGCTAATTGGACTCCCAGAGATCATTGCATGAGTTGGCTGTTTGAAACCTGGGGCCTATGCAGGATTGTTTGGCTCAGCCTGGGAGGAGGGGACTAGACCTACCTGGACTGAGTCTACCAGGTTGACCTCAGTCTGTGGGGAAGGCTTTGCCCTGGAGGAGATGGGAATGGGGGGGGTTGGGGGGAAGGTGAGGGGGACGGGAGGGGGGAGAACAAGGGAATCCATGGCTGATATGTAGAACTGAATTGCATTGCAAAATAAATTAAAATAAATAAATAAAAAAAAAATGTGTTCCCTCAAATTTTCTTCTTTACATTTCTTCAGTGTTTAGAGACAGGGTTTCTGTGTATCCCTGGCAGTCCTAGAACTCACTCTGTAGAAGAGGCTGACCTTGACCTCTGAGGTCCACATACCTGGATTAAAGGCATGCTGGGCTACCCTCTGTTCTCAAAAAAAGCTCAGACTTTAAATAACATTAGCTGCCCCACCCCGTTTCCCACTGTGGAGCCAGTCAACACAGCCCACATCAAAACCATTTCCCGTATCACTACAACTCATCCTGCCTCACTCACCTTTTACTTCTGACTTAAACTACCTTAACTTTTTAAAAAAGTATTTGTTTTTAATTACGTGTATCCTTGTGTGTCTGTGTACAAGACTGTGCATGTGAGTGCAGGTGTTCTCAAGAGTCAAGAAGAGAGTGTCAAATTCCTTGGAGCTATTGTTACAGGTAGTAGTAATCTGCCTGATGTGGGTGTTGGGAGCCTTTTGCAAGAGCGGTGTGTGTGCTCCTGACTACTGAGCCATCCCTCTAGTACCCTTTCAATTTAAAAACAAATTGAGATGTGTTTATTTTATAGGTTGAGGAAAGGAGTATGCATCAAAACCAAGTATGTGGAGATCAAAGAACAACTTGCAGGAGTCAGTTCTTCCCTTTCACAATGCAGGTCCTGGGACTGAACTCAGTCATCAGCCAGTAAATGCCTTCACTTGCTGTGGTGGCTTGAATGAGAATGCCCCTAGGAAGCTCATATATTTGAATACTTGGTCCCCAGTGGGTACAACTCTTTGGGAAGTTTAGGAGGTATAGCCTTGTTGGAAGAGGTGTGTCCCCTAGGGTAGGCTTTGAGGTTTCAAAAGCCCATAACACTCCTTGTTAGCCTTCTCTCTTCCTTGTGGTTGTTGTCCAACATGTGAGCTCTCAGCTACTGCTCCAGCATCAGGCCTGCTCGACTGTTGCCATGCTCCCCGTGACAATCAAGGACTCCACCACTGAAACTCTAAGCCCAGTAAACTCTTCTATAAGCTCCCTTGATCATATATCTGCACAGCAATAGAAAAGTAAGACACCTGCAGAACAAGAACAGTATCACAGGCCCAACCACCTCAACTCTTCCCACTTGGTTTGAGGGTCCACTCAGAGGACAGGCACCTGCTAGTACAATGGAGGGTCTGGGTTTGTCTCCAGTGCAAACCAAAAGGCTCAAACCCCAAACTCACTATATAACACCCACAATTCAAATACTCTTAACTACTAGTGTTACCAATCTATCAACCTTATCTTCCTGTTCAAAACTGCTGTTGCTGCTCACAAAACTTGCAACTTACAGGGCATTTGTGAGAACTAAAATACATAAATATATATCTATGACTGCTTGTGGTAGCACATGCCGGTAAGCCTAGTAACTCCAACAGCTAGGGTGGGAGAAGGGTAGAGAACTTGAGGCCAGCCTGGGCTACACAGAAAGACCCTTTCCCTTGAGGAAAAAATTTAAATTAGTTAACCCTTACACCTTGGGTCTCCATTTAAAAAACTCATTCTGGTGCTAGAGAGATGGCTCAGCAGTTAAGAGCACTGACTGCTCTTCAGAGGACCTGGGTTCAATTCCCAGCATCCACATAGCAGCTCACAATTGTCTATAACTCCAGCCCTAGGAGATCTAATACCCCCTTCTGGCCTCCTCAGGCATTGCACACATATGGTATGAAGACATACACGCAGGCAAAACACACACACACACACACACACACACACACACACACACACACACACACACACAAGTAAAAAGTAAAAAGCTCATTCTGCTTGCTGTTGAATAAATCAAGAAACTAAATGACAATAATTTGAATTAATCTACAGATGAAGGAAGCAGTCAGCCTTCTACCTTCTGTTGCTAATACTAAGCTGAAGTGGTTATATATCTAAAGAGATATTTACTTTTATACAAATTTCACAGCTTCTCATCATGGATATACCCAGAAAGATAACGAGAATTTGTATATCCTTTCATGTGAGTTTCTATGATACATTACTGTGGGATGGTCTGTATGTCAAATGTGTTGCTGATTGGTCAATAAATAAATCACTGATTGGCCATTGGCTAGGCAGGAAGTATAGGCGGGACAAGGAGGAGAATAGAGCTGGGAAGTGGAAGGCTGAGGGGGAGACACTGGCAGCCGCCATCAGGACAAGGAAGATGTAAAGTACCGGTAAGCCACAAGCCACGTGGCAAGGTATAGATTAATAGAAATGGATTAATTTAAGCTGTAAGAACAGTTAGCAAGAAGCCTGCCACAGCCATACAGTTTGTAACTAATATAAGTCTCTGTGTTTATTTGATCGGGTTTAAGTGGCTTGGGACTGGCGGGTGAGAGAGATTTGTCCTGACTGTGGGCCAGGCAGGAAAACTCTAGCAACAAAGAGAGATTTGTCCTGACTGTGGGCCAGGCAGGAAAACTCTAGCAACAATACATACAGGAGATAATTTAAGTATCATTCTAAAAAGAATCAGCGTAACCAAGCAAAGCAGGTTCCAAAAGCAGGAAGCAGAAGTAATGTTATGCTATACAAGTACCTTTCTGAATAGTCTCTTCTGTTGTAGGGCCTCGGGGCAACCCTTCAATGTAAGTGCTTGGTAACAAGTCTGCTGAGATAGGCTGACCTTCTAACTTCTGAAGTCTGTCTTGTACAGCACTGGTCAGATCTATATAAGCCTCATCGATGCTGGCACGTTCAATCACAGCAAACTGAGACATTATCTCCATGACTTCAACACTAGCTTCCCGGTACCTGAGTATAAGGATCATACAAATAGGCCATAAATGGACACAACCTTGAGACAAGAATATCCATAAGTGCCGGGCCATGGTGGCACTTGCCTTTAATCGCAGCACTGGGGAGGCCAAGGCAGGCAGAAGATTTCTGTGAGTTCAAGGCCAGCCTGGACAGCTAAGGACAGCTAAGCTACACAGAAAAACCCTGTCTCAAAAAAAAAAAAATAAGCAAGTGACAAGTGACTTAATAAAGATGTAATAATTACCCAACTGAAGGGAACAATGGATAGGTAGGTAAGCAATAGAAAAAGGAAAAGAAAGAACCCTGGAAAGCCTTTTCATGCAGTGCTAGCATTATACCAAGTTAAAAGGCATGCAGGCCCTGAGTAACCTATGTGACAAGGAACTCTCTAAAAGGAAAAGAAAGCCTAGCACAATGAAACATTGCACTATGTTCACTTATCCCTTTGCTATTTACATACACTAAAAAATCTTTTGCTTCAGAGTCTACCTTCAAACAAGACACAACTTAGGGAGAACATGACACTCAGCAGAACAGATTTTTCTTATGACAGCAACTCTTACTACAAATCAATAAACTGACCATAGACTTCAATTTCAGTCAATGGTGTTTGGCTAGTGCAAGCCAATTGCTCTGGACATACTATCATTCAAATTATGAAGACAAGTGCCTAGGATTTAGGGATACATTTGGGCAGGTAGGCTACCTTCTTTAGGGGAATATCATCTCATCATAGATCTATTTAAGACTTGTCAACTTGACACAAGCTAGGGTCATCTGGGAAAAGAAACCTCAATTGAGAAAATGCCCCATCAGATAGGCCTGTAGGCAAGTCTGGGAGGCATTTTCTTGATTAATGATTGTTGTGAAAAGGTCCAGTTCACTGAGGGCAGTGCTACTCCTAGGCAGGTATCTTAGGCTGTATACAAACTGTATACAGACTGAGTATATCCATACATATATAGATACATGAATGTGTGTGTGTATATATATATACATATATATGTATGTAACAACAATTAAAGAAAAAGAGGTCATGAATTTGAAAGGGGGTGTGTATGTACAAGGGAGATTTGGAGGGAGAAAAAGAAGGGGAAATGATGTAATTATAATCTCAAAAACTTACTTAAAAAAAAAAAAAAGCAAATTGAGTGAGCCATGGGGAGCAAGTCATGGTCTTGCATTCTTCCATGGTCTCTACTTCAGTTCCTGCCTTCAGGTTCCTGCTCTGACTTTCATCTCTATGATGGACTGTGACCTGAGATATAAGTTAAACAAACCCTTTCCTCCCCAAGTTACTTTTGGTCAGTGCTTTATCATAGTAATAGAAAGCAAACTAAGATAAACCATAAATGGTTCTTCTAGCCAAATAGCTAGCTTTCTACAACAATCTGCATGTTTTCTTTACTTTGGTTTGGATTTGCTATATAATTTAAAGTTCTTTGATCTTGTTATATTTTCCATAAAATGGAAACATTTGCATGTCTTCACTAAGATGCCCCCAAAAACCATTATGGTTTCTGTTCCAAAATGTCATTAAATTAGAATTATAGATTATTTGACTTTTCCCTTACAACCTTTATTTGCATTAGGAAAACGCCTCAAAGGACAAAAACCAAACTAATGTGCAACATACCACACACAAAGCTGGAAGAGGGTATCCTACTATAGTAGTTGGTATGTATGGTCTCTTAAGCAAATTACTCTATTTTGAGGGATATTTGAAAAACCACACAAACTATTAGTGCACATGTTTTTGCAAAGAGCATTTTTATAACCTTGTATTTTAACTATTAAAATGATTTTAAACTGTGGGTCTTTTAAACTCTCTGACCTATATACTTACTCTTAAATATCCTAAATCCACAACTGTTCATGATTTACTATAGATTTGCTTTGTGCTTTGTTTAGTTTTCTGAGGCAGTGTCTCATATAAAACAAGCTGGCCTGAAACTCATTCACCAAATATCTGGAGATGACCTTGAACTCCAGATTCTCCTGTCTCCACATCCTAAGTGCTGGAATTACAGGGGTATGCTACATCCAACTATTCAGGTTTTAAAAATAAATGGTTCAGTTTAAGTTAATGAAGTATGCCTTTTCCAAATCAAATTTTAAAGTCAACAGCATATATTTCATAGACTCTATACTGCTAACATAGCACGCAATATTGTATTTCCATTAACTGAATTAATTCTGCTTTATGGTTAAGCTATTAATTTTTTTTTGAGATGGGGTTTCTTTATGTAGCCTTGGCTGTCCTGAAACTCACTCTGTAGACCAGGATGACAGGATGGTCTCAAACTCACAGAGATCCACCTGTCTCTGATTCCTGAGTGCTGGGATTAAAGGCGTGCACCACCATCTCCTGGAAAGCTACTAATCTTTTGTCAATTGTATCTTTAGATATCTAATTCACAGGTCAGTTCAGAAATATTTCAAGTCCCAAGTCAAAGCCTGATGCCTATAGCATATTGTACTACATACTGTACTGTGAGAATGTAGATACTAGACTCTGAAAAGAATACACATGCTGATACTTTGTTGGTACTCTAACAAATAAAGCTTGCCTGGAGATCAGAGTACAGAGCTAGTCACTAGTTAACCATAGAGGCCAGGCAGTAGTAGCATACATCTTTAATTCTAGCACTTGGGAGGAAGCAGGAAGGTCTACCCTGAGCTACACGAGACTGACCCAGTTTAAAAGAAAAAGGCAGTAGAGGCTCACACTTTTAATCCCAGCACTTGGGATCTCATGCCTTTGATCCTAGTACCTGGGAGGCACACACCTTTAATCCCAGCACTAGGGAAGTGGAGACAGGAAATGATATGGCTGGATGGAGAGAGGAATATAAGGTGGGAGGAGACAGGAGCTCACTCTTTTTTCAGGCTGAGGAGTTGTCGAGGTAAGAGGTGGCTGTGGCTGGCTCCTTTGTCTCTCTGATCTTTCAGCATTTACTCTGATATCTGGCTCCAGGTTTTTATTAAGACCAATTAAGATTTGAGCTACACATGCATGTGAATCTCTAGTCTTCCACTCAGCTGTTGAACTTAAACTATTTAACCTCTTTTGAGCTGGGAATGTAGCTTGGTCTGTCGAGTATTTGCTTAGCATACATGAAACCCTGGATTCACATTGCAGAAACTATATGGTAGAGCAGGCCTGTAATCCCAGCACCTAGGAGGTGGAGAAAAGAGGACCAGGAATTGAAAGTCATCCTCTCTGTTACAGAGTGATTTCAAGACTTGCCCTAGGATATATGATACCTTGTCTCTCAAAAACAAAAACAAAATTCAAAAAACCAAAACCACTATAAAGACAGGATTACAAACTTTACTAGTACCTACCTAGAAATAATGTGAGAGTGAACAGAGCTATTCCCTATAAAGAATATTGTCTTTAATTCAGTATGTATTAACTATTAGGACTTGTGGTTTGAAAAAGAATGCTCATATATTTGAATGCTTGGTTATTAGGGAGTGGCACTACTTGACAGGGATTAGGAGGTGTGGCCTTGTTGGAGTAGGTGTAGCTTGGTTGGAGGAAGTGTGTCTGTAGGTGGGCTTTGGGGTTTCAAATGCTTAAGCCAGACCTAGTATCTCTGTCTCTTCCGCCTGCTTTTGGATCTGGATGTAGAACTCTGAGCTAGCATGTCTGCCTGCGTACCTCCATACTCTCTGCCATGAGGATAATGGACTAATAAACCTCTGAAAGTCTAAGCAAGCCACAATTAAATGCTTTCTTTTTATAAGAGTTACCATGGTCATGGTGTCCCCTCACAGGAATAGAACACTGACTAAGACAGGACTATTATAATGACTGAGGCTTGTGCCTACCTCTATACACATCGTTCACTTTAGGGCTGGCCTTCAAGTTTGCAGAGAGACAGGCTCAACTGAAAAGAAAAAAGAAAGAAAGAAAGAAAGCAGGGGCTGGAGAGGTGGCACAGCAGTTAAGAATACTGGCTGCTCTCCAGAAGACCTGGGTTCAATTCCCAGCACCCACATGGCAGCTCAAAACTGTCTATAACTCCAGTTCCAGGGGATCTGACACTCTCACACAGACATACATGCAGACTAAACACCAATGCACATGAAATAAAAATAAATTTAAAAAATATAAGGAAAATAAAGTGGCCCCTGTCCTTTCCAACTTGGGCTCAGCAAAATGGCTCCCACAAAGAAGGGTGGCAATAAGAAGGGCCATTCTGCCATCCCCGAGGATGTGACCCAAGAATAACACCATCAACATTCACAAACGCATTCATGGAGTGGGCTTCAAGAAGCATGCCCCTCAGGCACTTAAGAAATTCAGAAATTTGCCATGAAGGGGATGGGGACTCCAGATGTACACACTGATACCAGGCTCAATAAATAAAGCTGTCTGGGCCAAGGGAATGCTCCATATCATATTCGTGTACGTTTGTCCAAAAAAATGTAAAGAATATGAGGACTCACCAAATAAGCTCTACACGTTAGTGACGTATGTGCCTGTTACCAGACTCAAAAATCTACAGTCAATGTGGATGAGAACGAACCCACTGAATGTTAAATAAAGTTGCAGAAATGCAAAAAAAAACTCAGATCTCTCCAAGAGCAGAACCTCCTCTTAACTATTGAGCTAGCTTTCATTTCCCCATAACTGATTTTTAAACAAGGAAGATAATAAATGGTTCCTTAAAGGCAAGAACTTAAAAGCAATAATAAAACTGTTACTGTCTGTCTGTCTCTCTGTCTGTCTCTCTGTCTCATGGGGGGCAGATATTGAGGGTCTTCCTCAATTGCTTTCTCTGTTTTGAGAGCCTCTTACTGAACCCCAAGCTCACGGATTCAGCTTAGGCCAGCTGGCCAGCAAGCTCATAAAATATTTAACTCATAGACACATGATGCTGACAGAAAAACATTTTGGCCAGGAGGTAGTGGCGCACGCCTTTAATCCCAGCACTTGGGAGGCAGAGCCAGGTGGATCTCAGTGAGTTTGAGGCCAGCCTGGGCTATAGAGTGAGATCCAAGACAGGCACCAAAACTACACAGAGAAACCCTATCTCAAAAAACCAAAAACATTTTCATATTTGTGTCAACAAGTTTATTGAGTACACTGCAAGGAGCAACAAGCTATAGTAACTTATCACCTGTAGCTTTTTTTTTTTAAAGTGGCCCTTGATATTAAACCTAGGATCTAATGCGTGCTAAGTAACCACTCTACCACTGGCCACACCCCCATCCCACAAAACACTTCCTAAGTCTTCTATGTTCCTTTACATATGTTCTTTTTTGCTTACTTGGTGAGGTTGGCTTTTCCACGGGACTCACGAACTTGTGCCAGTAGAAGATCTGGACACAACTTCTTAGCATCATCTGCCCACATGTTTCTAGTAACCCCAAATGCACGAGCTTCATAACTCACTGCAATAATTCTAAAGTTAGGGGGAGAAAGGAAACAAAATCAAAAATATTACATGATCTCAAACAATAATAAACTTTTAACAGAAGTAGGCTATAAACACATAAAATTAGAAATCTGTGATGACAAATGCTATTATTCAATCCCAGACACAGCAGTTCAGACACTTCAAAAAAGACCTAGAACAGAACCATTGAGTTTCCACAGACTGAAGTCTCAGTGGGGTCTGGGGTGATGGTTAAGGGTTAAGAGCACTAGCTGCTCTTTTCACCCGGGGTTGATTCCCGCACCCACATGGTGGCTTACAACCACTGGTCAGTAACTCCAGTCCTAGGGGATCTGACACCTTATTTTGGCCTCTGTGGGTACTGTATGCAGGTGGCACACAGACATCTATATGGACAAAACACTCAAACACAAAAAAATTTTGTTAAAGACTCAGAGGGGTTGGGGAGATGGCTCAGTCAGTGAAGTGCCTGGCATGCAAGCAAGCCAAGCTGAGCTGGGAGTCGCCAGGACCCACAGAAACAGCTGGGTGCAGCAGTGCATGCCTTTAACCCTGTCTGTGGGGGCAGAAACAGGAAGATCTGGGGAGCTTGCTGGCCAGCTGGCCTAAGCTGAATCCGTGAGCTTGGGGTTCAGTAAGAGGCTCTCAAAACAGAGAGAGCAATTGAGGAAGACCCTCAATATCTGCCCCCCATGAGACAGAGAGGCAGACAGAGAGACAGACAGACAGACAGACAGACACACACACACACACACACACACACACACACACACACACACACGACACTCTCAATGATACATACCCACCACCTTTCCATGTTTTGTACTGTACAACTGCACAAGGCTTATTCCTCAAATGAGGGTTTTGCCGTTGTTCCACTTGGACAAAGAAACAATCCATATCTACAAGAGCAACCACTCGATCTTGTCCAGCAGCCATTTATTCCTGGAAGACATTTTATAAACAGAAAAATACTTAATCTAAAACACAAAACCAAAAGACCCCCATTGTATTTCTACCATGTGTGGTGGGTATACATCTTTGACCTCAGCACTCAGGAGGCAGAGGCAGACAGATCTTTCAGGTCTACACAGTGAGACCTTGTCTCAAAACAACAATAACAACTATATTTCTACATCTAATTGATGAGCCACAACAAGAATAGGAGCATGGAAACTAAGAACAAAAGTCATTTTCATCTACTGTTTACATGAGAATAAACTAGTACAATTTTATGAAGGTAATACATATTTAAAACTTTAGAGCTGGCGCACGCCTTTAATCCCAGCACTCAGGAGGCAGAGGCAGGCAGATCTTTGTGAGTTCGAGGCCAGGCTGGTCTACAGAGCGAGATCCAGGAAAGGCGCAAAGCTACACAGAGAAACCCTGTCTCAAAAAACAAACAAACAAACAAAAAAGTTTAGAAACAGACTCCATTTGAACTCCTGATCCTCCTGCCTCTACTTCCCAAGTGGTGGGATTACAAGCATGCATCAGTACACCTGGCTACTCATTCTCAGACATTTCATAAAAGATATACAAATAGCCAAAAGTTGCCTGTCACTGTTCTGTTACTGTGAAGGGACACCACGATCCAAGCAACTCTTATAAAAGATAGCATTTCGCTGAAGCCCAACATGGCAGAGACTGCTGTGGGATGGTCTGTATGTCAAATGTGTTGCTGATTGGTCAATGAATAAATCACTGATTGGCAGTGGCCAGGCAGGAAGTATAGGCGGGACTAACAGAGAGGAGAATTGAGAGAACAGGAAGCTGGGTGGGAGAGACACTGCCAGCCGCCATCAGGACAAGGAAGATGTAAAGTACCGGTAAGCCACAAGCCACGTGGCAAGGTATAGATTAATAGAAATGGATTAATTTAAGCTGTAAGAACAGTTAGCAAGAAGCCTGCCACGGCCATACAGTTTGAAACCAATATAAGTGTCTGTGTTTACTTGATCGGGTTTGAGTGGCTTGGGACTGGCGGGTGAGAGAGATTTGTCCTGACTGTGGGCCAGGCAGGAAAACTTAAGCTACAAGAGACCTATTGGGCCTTTGTGAAAAACTCTCCCCTTCTGATGCCAATGAGGATTGAGAGCCCAATACGGCCAGCTTTGGCAAGCATTAACGTAAGCCTAGGAACTGTAGCCACGCAGTTGGATTCTCCAGAAGGTAATGTATGGTAACTGCTTTTTCAAGTATGTTGGAGAACATGTCACCCAGACACCTTGGAGATTAAGGATAACCCTGAAGGTCATGACCTCCATTTGTTAACAGTAGCATGCCTGCTAGGCCTTTTCATTTTCACAATCCGCTTCAAGCTGGTGTAGTACCTACTTTTCAGGAGTGGCTCTGTGCAACATTTATTGGCCTCCTGAAATTTATTTAGCCCCCTTTGAAGATACCTTAAAATTTATGAGGCTGAATGTAGCCATTATGAGATCATTAGTTCTGCTCCTTGTGAGCTGCCTGTTTTTTCTTTATGGTTCTTAATTGTTCTTTTGCAGGGCTGCCAGCTTATGTCATGCTGGGATCAAGAAAAATGGGCCTTGGTGGTTCGTGTTCCTGGAGTTGTGTCCATGTCAGTGGATGCCCACCTACTCCAGAAGAGAATTTGACATCGCTGCTGCCATTGTTGCTGTTACAGCAGTGGCGGCCACCACTGCTACTGTTTCTGGGATTACATTTCATAATTGCTTACTACAGCTAGCACAGTGGATGGAGACCCTGGCAGCAAAAGTAGCTACCACAGTTAGTTAATCTTTCATTCTATTGGGCATGATATATTTAATTCAATAGTTATATACATTTCGATTGGCTTTGAAAATTATAAATTTATTAACTCAAGTTCCACTTGCTTTTGGGATACCATCTTACAAGGACTCCAATTTGCAGTAAGGCTCGTTAAAGAAGGGAATGGCTCAATTGCCTTTAGCCTACTGGCTATGGGTGGGTTAGGACTTCTGTTGGTCTTTTCTGTATCAAACACACAGATTGCAAGCCCAGCGCCACTTTGAGATCTTTAGCAGCAGTTAACTCTGCAGCTCACACAGGATTGAGCCTGTATGATAATGAGTATTCAGAGAGGGGTAATACCTGGAGGGCTCTCACCAACCTAAGACAGAGTGCCTGTGTGGCCTGGCCAGGCATCTCCATGACGGGTAAGGTGACCTGCTGACGCCCCATGCAACCTAAGTCAGAAGCTCATTTTTTAGTAAAAGGGGGGGACCTGTAGGGCCCTGGCCCCCATTTTGGGTAACTGTTGCCTTGCTTGCTGACCTTGACCTTGATATCCTCCCTATGCTAATGCCCTCCTGGGTTTCACCCTCCTGAATGCTTAAGGGAAGTTCCTTGTCTGTGTATCCTGCATATTGGGCATTAACAGCTTAGATGCAAGATTGTAAAACATCAGTAGTGAACTTCTGCCCTCCGGGGTTCTCCCATTGTGCTGTAAGCCTGCATTTAAGACCTCCTCCCAGGCTGAGCCAAGTGTCCCTGTATAAGCCCCAGGTTTCAAACAGCCAACTCATGCACTGAGTACAGGACCTGGTCCCACTACCTGGATGCCTCCCAAACAGATCAAGCTAATCAACTGTCTCACTTATCCTGGACTGAATCTATCAGGTTGAACTCAATCCTCAGGGGAGTTTTTGCCCTGGAGGAGATGGGAATGGGGGGGGGGCCTGGGGGGAAAGTGAGGGGGGCGGGAGATCAAGGGAATCTGTGGCTGATATGTAAAATTAAATTAAATTATAAAATAAAAAAAAGACCTCTTCCCTCCTTCAATAAACAGCATTTGACGTTAAAAAAAAAAAAAAAAAAAGGTGTAGTACTCTTACAGAGGACCTGAGTTTGGTTCCCAGCATCCACACCAGGTGGCTCCAAACTACCTATAACTCCAGCTCCTGGAGATCTGATGTCCTCTTTTGGACACCATCCCCATAATTAAAAACAAAATGAGCAATTAAAAAAAAGAGATCGAGAGAGAGAGAGCATTTAGTTGGGTGCTTGGTTACAGTTTAGAGCATTAGTCCATGATCATCATGGTGGGAAGCAGGCATGCATGGGGCTGAAGGAGTAGCTGAGAGCTTTACATCCTGGTCTGCAAGCAGAGAGGAGACCGGGCCTAGTGTGGGCTTTTGAAACCTCAAAGCCTACCCCCAGTGACCCAGCTCCACTAACAAGGGCACACCTCTAATTCTTTCCAAACGGTTTCACTAAGGACCCAGCATTCAAACATATTGGGGGGGAGGGGTGTCAATGTCACTCAAATCACCACAGTGCCTAACAATGGACTCAGCATCATCTGTAGAACCTGTTTCTTATATTCAAATCATGAATATCCTGTGTTTCTGTGAAAGTATTATTTATGGGAAATTGAAAATTTAAACTGCACAGATCAAAAACCCATGATGTACACTAGGAGGAGAGAACCAAAGGGTAATCTAGTTGATAGATAGATCCCAATCATAAATTTAGGAGAAAAAGAAAATGTTGCATATCAATCAACCTCAGATTGAAAACATGCAGGAAAAGAGTATGTGCAATGACTGTATATAGACACTTCTCATCATTCTCTAAAAGATATAGTATATTTATATAAAACTAATATTGTGCTAGATATTATGATTAGAAGTATCTGGGAGAGGCTGGGGTGTATTACTCAATGTTAGAGCCCTTTCCTAGCATTCTCAAGACCACAACTTTGAACCTTAGCAAGTGTCTGTGTGTGTGTGTGTGTGTGTGTGTGTGTGTGTGTGTGTGTGTGTGTATACAATGGCATAGGTCATATGCAAATACTACATATGACATTTTATGTAAGAGACCCAAGCATCTGTAGACTGGGTATCCTGCAGACTGCAGGAAGAATATCCTGGAATCAATCATTCTGTGAATTTGGAAGGACTGTAATGCAGGGTAGCTACCCTGTAATTCACTCTGTAGACCAGGCTGGCTTCAAAGTCACAGAGATCCACTTGCCTCTGCTGGAACTAAAGAACAGCTGCCACCACAACTGTCATCATGCAAACTGTTTACTTTGAAATACTTTTTAAAAACATTTGGATATAGAGAATGGTGGCACACTTCTGTAATTCCAGCACTCAACAGGCTAAGGCAAGAAGATTTTAAGTTCAAGGTCAGCCTGAGCTACATGGAAAGAACTTTGTTTCAAGAAGAACACACACATACAAATGAAGAGAATAATCGAATACTACGTAAATGCCCCGTTTCTCTGCAAATTTTCAATAATAAGCAACTTTCAATAGATCTTACCTGCAACAACTACTTTGTGGTGTTCAATGATTTTCTATTTGTAAAATTTCTTTTTTGTTTTGAGGAGTGGTTCTTTTACTTATTTCCCCCTTTATTTATTTATTTTTAAAAGACAGAATGTCATGTAGCCCAAAATGGCCTAAAAACTTGCTCTGTCGCCACAAATGACCTAGAACTTCTTGATCCTCCTGCTAAATGCTGAGATTACAAGTACATGCCACCACTGTCATGGCATCATGATTTTTAAAGGTTCTCAAGACATTCCCACTATGCAGCAGCTTTGCATACCCAGCCTATCATAAATAATACAGAATTCACAGAAGCACAGGACATTCATGATTTGAATATAAGAAACAGGTTATACAGATGAGTGAGCACCTAACTGTAACTTAATTTTTTTTAAATGAACATTCACCGTGAAAACAGTGCCAAGCAACAACTACAAAGCTGCAGTACTGGTGTAAAGAAAATAAAAATCTGAACGCTCAAGGCATTAACTCCTTACAAATCACTGACCTAAAACAAGGTGATCTTAGGTTAAAATCCATAAGTCAGGCATCCCTTTGTTTTGAAGAGGATTTTCTGTAATACTGGAACAGTTTATAAAGCCAGAAAAAACGGCAAATGCGTTGTCACAATCAATACTGGGAAGTACCATATTCGATATAAATATCTGAGGTAAAACAAGAAGCTGTGATTTAAGGGCAGGAAACATTTACTAAATAGAAAAAAAAACGCATAAAACATACGCAGGATAACAGGTAATGAAGTTGTTAAGTCTTTCAGTTTATGTGTTCTTTTTGTATTTAATATATGTATCGGTGTAAAATCAAGACGCCAAAACTTTGCTCCCGAAAGGATTATGTTAATTTGGGTTTGGCTGTCTGTCTCTGTCTCTGTCTCTTTTTCTCTGAAGCAGGGTCTCACACTGTAGCCCAGGCTGTCCTCAAACCCGAAGCAATCCTACTGCCTCAGTCTGCCAAAGGCGTAGTGGGATGCGTTTTAAAACATTTCGGTTTATCCCATTCTGTACAAAACACATTCGGAGCGGGTCGTGTAGTAACACGCACAAGAAAATACGTACAGGTGAAGAGGAAGGTTTAAGTCACAAGAAAATGACCCTACAAGAGACAATGTCAGGGCCTTCTCTCCCCGGAAGCATGTTTCCATGTCGGCCCCGTGTACCCCCAGTTACTCCAAGTAAAACCAACAGCCAAGGCAACGGAAGTATCCCGACACAGCGATTCCGAACGGCGTTTTAATGTTCTTACCGCGGCGACCAACACCTGTCAAAACTGTCCCGCGCGATGCTGCGGGCTCCGGGCTGAGTCCCCTGCAGGGAAAAGGACGGCGTCTGGTCAGTGTCGTCGCCTCCCCAGGAGCAGGCCAATTCCGAGAGAGACCGACTGCCCGCGACGACGGAGAACCGAGCCGGGCTGCCTAGGATCCCGGCGAGCAGTCCTCACAGCGAGCCCAGAAAGGCGCCCAGCGAGGGACGGTTGACGCGCCTGCGCATCGCGGAACTTCCGTCCTCCGCCCCGCCCGGCCAGGCGCGTCCCGCTCACGGAGCCGCCACTTCCGCGCGCGCATGCGCGGTGCCGGGCCCAGCGCCTGCGCAGCGCTGGGTTCTTCCCAGCTCCAGCCTCTTGGGGTTCACGCTCCTCCTCCCGTTCCCCCCCCCCCCCCCCAGCCCGCCGCGGCCTGGTATCAACGTGTGGCCCCGCCAGGGGTGCCCTGTGTGCCTCGTGCTCCCGGGACGGCGGTGGTGTTCTCGGCTCTAGCCATGGAGATGGAGCAAGTGAACGCGCTGTGCGAGGAGCTAGTGAAAGCCGTGACGGTCATGATGGACCCCAGCTCCACCCAGCGCTACCGGCTGGAAGCCCTCAAGGTAGCTGGGGTCCTGGCGCCCAGGGCCTGCCCCGAGACCCCTATCCCAGGCTTCCCCTACGGCCTTTCCGAACTCATTTTGTCTCCCGCCTCTGCAGCCCTTGGTCCTCCCACTCCCAGTGGGGACAGTGGCTTCTTGTCGTGCGGCCCTCCTCACCTCTTCCCACTTGGGTCTTCTCTTGCTTGCGCGCCTGTCTTTGCCTTGAACTCGAGGGTCGCTAACTGCTGCGCGTTCTCTAGCCACTTCTCAGTGGCCTTTCTGCCCACTCCTCACTTTTTTCACTCTAGACCACACCACGATCACCGCAGGCTGCGCTCCTTCTCAAACCCCGGCTAGCCACACATTGCCTGGTGATCTGGAAGCGCACGTGCAAATTCTGCCCCCAGTGCCCCTCATTCTTCCCTGCTGATCCATTCCAGACTTGTGCGGATTTCCGATCCCTTTTCTTACATCCTTACATGTCTCTCTTTTAAGTCTTGGGCATCTCTGGCTGATTTGTAACACTCCTCCCATGTGAATAGGAGTGAGATATTCTTTGGCTATTTTTGCGCTAAGATGAACTTTACCACTGGCTTTGCATTTTCACAAAGGCACTTTGGTTTCCTGGAAGTAGTTCTCTTGAGTCCCAGGTGCTATGCCCCAAGGTCTAGCTCAGGTTTTGCTATTTGGAACACTAATACCTGCAACAGAGAGTCTTCCCCATTAGAGTGAGCACCAACATATAGAGATATGTGGTACAAGGTTTGGAATCAAACAACTGTGGTTTTTTGTTTTGTTTTGTTTTGTATTGTGAAGAGTTTTACATAGGCACAGAAATAGAATACTACAGTGATCCTGAATAGGCCTGTGACAGAAACTCAGATGATACACAGATTTTCTTGTTTACTGTCTCTCCCTGTCACCCATATTTTTTAAAGCTAACTCTAGGGGTTGACATTCCACCTCTAGTGGGTATATCTCTAACTTTCCTTTCACACTTTTAGGTCCACTTTCTTTTTAGTATTAACGTGACTACTGTCAAAGTGGATCATATCAGTAGCACTAATCTAGATTTTGCAGCTTAAAAATACAGCTAAAAAGACAGGCCTAGTGGCACAGTCTCCTGCTACTCAAGAGACTAAGGCAGGACATTCAAAAGTTAAAGACCCGCCTGAGCAACTTAGGGAGACCCTTTCCCAGTAAATAAACAAATAGCTTAGCGGGTGAAGTGCTTGTTTATGGCTGGGTGCTATCATCCAGTCATGGCTGTGGAAGAGACCAGCAGATTCCTGAGTTGGATGGCCAGCCAGTCTAGCCAAATCATGAGTTCCAGGTTCTCAAAACAGCCTGGAGAAAGGCATTCAGCTTTAGTCTGTGGCGTTCATTTGCTTGCCCAGCTACATGCATGTGCACATATGTGAATACATTGCATACATACACCAAAAAGAGAGAGAAAGCTGAGGATATAGTTTAGTGGTAGTGTGTTTGCCTAGTACATGAAATGTTCAGTTCCCAGTAACATGGACACCATCAGCTAAGGTTGAAATTTTCTTAGGATCTTTAGTCTCCATTTTCTCATGTTTCCCCGTGGAAATATTAACTTTTCTTCTTTCAGTTTTGTGAAGAGTTTAAAGAGAAGTGCCCTATCTGTGTCCCGTGTGGCTTGAGGTTGGCTGAAATAACACAGATTGCCGTTGTCAGACATTTTGGCCTTCAGATCCTGGAACATGTTGTCAAGTAAGGAGCTCTTGGCCACTGCAGTTTGCTGAAGAGAGCAAGTCTTTAATCCTTTCATGACCTACACAGGTGCTCTTCCAGTGACTGGGAGAGGCCAGAACTCCCGCGGTTTACTTTTATCCAGTTAAGTCGTCCATGTAAGGCGTGTTGCACATGCTGTGCAGTCAGCAAGCCAGGCAGGGTGGCGCTCATTGCAGTGCTTAGAGCACTGAGAAACTGAAGCAGCAAGATTGCCACAGGTTCAGGCCCACGAGGCTACATAGTTTCAGTACAGTGGGCTACAGAGTGAAACTTTGTATCAAGAAAACAAATTTTAAAAAAGAAACAGAAAAGCTTTTTTTTTTTTCCTCCTTGAAAAGCATCAATATTGTTGATGGCTAGATGGACATTTGCCTTTGGGCTACCAACAAAATCAAAGAGAAAAGCTGATTTGTGACAATAACACTGTATAAATGTTAATTAATGCACAAAGGTGTATATGAAGCTTCTTAAGAATCTCTGTTGTCTGGTTTAATGTGGATTTTTTTTCTTCATTCTCTGAAGAGTAAGTACAGAATTGAAAGTAGAAATTTTTTGTTTGTTTGTTTCTTACGATAGGGTTTCTCTGTGTAGCCCTGGTTGTCCTGGAACTCACTCTGTAGACCAGGCTGGCCTTGAACTCACAGAGATCAGCCTGTCTGCCTCAAGTGAGTAGATTAAAGGCGTGCACCACCACCGCCTGGCAGCAAGTATACTTTCTTAATGAAAGAAAATGTAAAAATGTAAAGCTGGAAACAGATATTCTCTTATGAAGAAGAAAGTTCTGATATGGTTTTGTTGATTTTGTTTTGGTGGTCAGGTTTCGATGGAACAGCATGTCTCGATTGGAGAAGGTTTATCTGAAGAACAGTGTCATGGAGCTGATGGCAAATGTGAGCAAAGGGTTATTGGGAGATTTGTGTTCCTAGACATCTGTGTAAAAAGTCATGGCTTCCATATAAACTGACTCTCCTGTCTTGACCACCCAGTCCCAAATAACCAACTCAGACGCTAAATGTGAATTATAAATGCTTGGCTGAAAGCTTAGGCTTGTTACTAACCAGCTCTTACATTTTTAAGTTAACCCATATTCCTTATTTATGCTCTGCCACGTGGCAGTACCTTTATTAGCACATTCATCTGCTGCCTCTGTGTCTGGGTGGTGACCGACTCTGCCCTTCTCCTTCCCATCATCCTTAGTTTGGTTGCCCCGCCTATACTTCCTACCAGGCTACTGGCCAATCAGCATTTTATTAAACCAGTTCGAGTGACAAATCTTTAAAGTGTATAAGAGGATTATTCCACAGCACTTCCACATAAGTCAGTATGACATTAAAGACAGACCAGAAGAGATTAAAGATTCTCAGCAAATGAATGAATATGATTATTTTTGTTTGTTTTCAAGACAGTTTCTCTGTGTAGGTTTAGAGCCTGTACTAGAGCTCACTCTGTAAATCAAGCTGGTTGGCTGCCTCTACTTCCCAAGTGCTGGGATTAACGGTGTGTGCCACCACCGCCTGGCATGAATAGGATTCTTAGATGTAGCTGAAAGTCCTGTCACACATCTTTGATCCCAGCACGTGGGAGGCAGAAGTGGACAGATCTCTGAGTTCAAGGCCAGACTGGTGTACATAGTGAGTGCCAGGACAGTGAAGGCTACATAGAGAGACCCTGACTCAAAATAAGTAAGTAAGTAAGATTCTTAGATGTAAATTAGATGATTGCAACACTTTGAATCTTTTTTCTTTTTTATTTAACCTTAACTACTGTGATACGTGTGATGAAAATCATACAGAGTGGATTTGTTTCACTCATGAACAAGACTTCAAGCATGCTATAAGTTGATGGCCTTTTTAGTTATTTAATTAGTTAATTTAGTCAGTCTCACTATGTAGTTCTGAGTGGTCTCAAACTGTTCTCTTTCCCCTGCCTCCTGAGTGCTGGGATTCAAGGTGCACTCCCCTGTGTTGGGCCTGCCCTCCTTTTTTTGAGCTAGGACTGACTTCATTGTAGCCCATCCTGGCCTCCACATCATAGCAGTCCTCCTGCCTTCAGCCTCCTGCGTGCTGGGACTGTTGTATCAGCCACCATGCCCGTCTTTTTTTTTTTTCCCCCATAACAAAGAATATGAAAAGGGGGAATACCCACATATTTGGTGGGGGTGTCTTTTGAGACAGATTCTCATGAAGCCCAGGGCAGCTTCAGTCTTGCTATGCAGCTGAGAATAAACTTGAATTTCTGACACTCCTGTGTACTGGAATTATGGGCAAGCACTACCAACCTGGCCTGTTTAATAGGAAAAAATATGCTTTGCAAAATTATGATTAGTTTAGCTAGTTGTAAGACTTGTAATTCATTAGTCCTACAGAGATTGGCAGTGATGGATTATCAGTTTTAAAGTTTCAATTCTTGGGAGACAGTGATAGTTTATCTTTTTCTTTTAATATTAGAACTACTGGTGTGATAGTGCTCCTTGATGCCCTCCCAGTCTACCAGTTTCCCAGTGCAGACCTTATTTCTGTATTCCACTATGGTCTTCATAAACATGAAGCAATATGAAAGCCTCTTCAGTTTGTGAAT